TAAGTCACCCATCCTCCATTCATGCCTAAGGCAGGACTAGAACTCCCCGTCTCCTGGTGATTGGCCCTAAGTCACCCATCCTCCATTTTAAGCTCTCCTTATATCCCCCAGTTTCTCTCCCCACTCGCCTTCCTTCATTTGCCTTTGCTCCCAGATGCGATTCGGAGAGATGCTTAAAACAACAGCAGGCGCAAACAGAAGCAGCTGTGTTTGCCCGACACTTTCATTGCTGACAAACGGAAAACACTCCATCATTTCCCCTTGTTTGATAAAACAGCAATGGTGGAACTTAAGTTCCTGGACTCCTGCTCAGGTTTATTACTTCCCTGGCCTTTTTTTTTTTTTTTTTTTGATGGGAAGGTTTGTTTTATCATTTTCAGCTCTGCCAGGCCAAAGGTTTGGTTTTGCAAGCAAAGGTCAGTCTCGGGGCCTTTAAAACCTTGTTTCTCAACCTGGATCACTTTAAGATGGGTGGACTTCAACTCTCGGAATTCCCCAGTCCACCCATCTTAAAGTGGCCAAGTTTGGTTTAGACTGAAAATCCCTTGTCAAATGAGAATAAAATACTGCATTTTCCTGAGATTTCAAACAAAGTCAATAGATGAAGCTGGATGAAGTAAACTCAGATGATTCACTTAAGAACAGTTGTGGCAAAAATATCATAAAATTGGCCATGGCTCATTTTACAACTTCCTTCCTTCCTTCCTTCCTTTCTTCCTTTTGTTCTTTCTTTCTTCCCTCCCTCCACCCTTTCTTTCTTTCTTTCTTTCTTTCTTTCTTTCTTTCTTTCTTTCTTTCTTTCTTCCTTCCTTCCTTCCTTCCTTCCTTCCTTCCTTCCTTCCTTTCTTTATCTCTCCTTCCTTCCTTCCTTCCTTTCCCTCCCTCCCTCCCTCCCTCCCTCCCTTCCTTTCCTTCCTCCCTCCCTCCCTCCACCGAACACAGCCAAATGACTTACAATTCTAAACTTGTAAAACAATTAAAGCCATTAAAAAAAAAACATTAAAACCATAAAAACCGTCCACAAAATAAATAACTACAAACCGCAGTAGTGATGATTAATCAACTAAGAGTTTTGGGGGCGGGAGCCCTCTAACCCTAAACGATCTTGCTTTGCAATGGAGGTTCTGTTTGCAGTTTTGGTCATAAGTGGAGGAACATCTGTATTTTAATGGAGGAAGCAATTTTGCCACCTCGGGAGGCTGTGGCTTAACTAACAGGCCTGTCGCCTCTCTTGCCCACTCTCTGGCTCTCTCTCTGACCGATCCTCTCTCTTTATAGATCCACCCGAACCCCCTGAGCTTAAGCCGAACTCCGGGACTCTCTCTGTGACCGCTGATCTTGCTTTGGAGGTGAGTTTGTCTCTCTTTAAACCAAACTTGACAGCTTTAAGACTTGTGGACTTCAACTCCCAGAATTCCTCCTCCAGTCATGTTAGCTCAGGAATTCTGGGAGTTGAAGTCCACAAGTCTTAAACTTGCCACGGTTGAAGACCCTTGGATTAGACAGACAGACAGACAGACAGAGATGGAGATAGAAGATAGATACTGTAGATCAGAGATCTTCAAACTGGACAGCTTTAAGACTTGTGGCCTTCAACTCCCAGAATTCTTCCTCCAGTCAGGTTATCTCAGGAATTCTGGGAGTTGAAGGCCACAAGTCTTAAAATGGCTGATGTTGAAGGCCCCCCCATGTTAGACCAGGGGCCTTCAAACTTGACAGCTTTAAGACTTGTGGACCTCAACTCCCAGAATTCCTCCTCCAGTCATGTTAGCTCAGGAATTCTGGGAGTTGAAGTCCACAAGTCTTAAAGCTGTCAAGTTTGAAGTATAAGTAGTCCTTGACTTACAGCAGTTTCTGTAGGGGGTGTCCGAAGTTACAACAACACTGAGAAATGTGCCTTATGACCATTTTTCACACTTACGACCATCGAGGGTGTCCCCTGTGGTCACGCGATCCAAATTCAGATGCTTGGCAACTGATTCATAGTTTTATGACGGTGTCCCAATGGGGGAATGTCAGATTTGCTTATCGACCAGGTTACTGCAGTGATTCACTTAACAACTGGGGCAAGAATATTTGCAAAATGCGGCAAACCTCACTTTACAACTGTCTCCCTTAGCGACAGAAATTTTGAGTTCAGTTGTGGCCATAAGTTGAAGATTACCTGCTTTGGTTGTGTTCTTTTGAAGGGTGAGAAGCACTGACGGTTTTTCTATTATTATTATTATTATTATTATTATTATTATTATTATTATTATTATTGTTGTTGTTGTTGTTGTTGTTGTTGTTGTTGTTGTTGTTATTGGAAAGTTATTTCAACTGTTATTTGATCTGCAAAGAGTTTTTAATGGCTGGGATGGACAGTGTTAAATGAACATGGGCTACAATTTGAAATTCAGAAGGCTGAAGGCAATAAAGTAAGTGAGAACATAGACAATGGAATTTCAGCTGGTTTTGGGGATAGGGGCTGTCAAAGATTCTTTGTTTCTATTGCAATGGCTAATTTGGAAAGTTTTGAGCAATTGTATTCAGAGGGCTGCGAATTCTACGTAAAAGAGACAGAGGTTCCAAGTGGTCCATCTTGGTAGCCCACGGTTTATAATTATTTGTGGAATGAATAAATACATACAGAACGAGCTTGTTCCCCTAGAATTAAGGAGAAATTTCCTGACAGTTAGAACAATTAATCAGTGGCACAACTTGCCTCCAGAAGTTGTGGATGCTCCAACACTGCAGGTTTTTAAAAAAGATGTTGGATAACCCTTTGTCTGAAGCGGTGTAGGGTTTCCTGCCTAAGCAGGGGGTTGGACTAGAAGACCTCCAAGGTCCCTTCCAACTCTGTTATTCTATTCTGTTCTATCTTTGGGGGGCAACAGGGGTCAAGCAACTCAAGATAGAAGCTAAGACTGTGTGGTCGATGCCTTGACCTGTTTTTATAAGTGTGAGATTCCTGATAAAACGACAAGGTTTTGAGTTGTGGAAGAGCAGGTGCCATCTTGATTTTGCACACCTACACACACCCACTGTGGAAATCCCTGGGCTTCTTAAGGCTTTTTTAGCAGCCGTCTCTTTTCCTTCCTCAGATTGCCCAGTGCACGGGCAAAAATGGCTACCCAGCGCCAACCATCAGCTGGTACAAAGATGGGCAGTTTCTGAATATTACCACCGAACACAACAAAGGTAATGGAGCCGTTTCTTTCTTTGATCGTTGAATGCAAGGAGGGATCTCCAGGTATTCCCCCAAAGGGGTCTCAGAAGGACAGACTGAATAAAGAGACACTCTTCACTTGGACATTAGTGATAGATAGATAGATAGATAGATAGATAGATAGATAGATAGATAGATAGATAGATAGACAGACGAATGGAGGGACAGATAGACAGATATAGATGAAAGGATAGCTGGATGGAGGGATAGATTTAGATGATAGATGATAGATAGATAGATAGATAGATAGATAGATAGATAGATAGATAGATAAGATAGATAAGATAGATAGATAAGATAGATAGAGGGATGGATGTTAGATGGATGAATGGATAAATAAATGGATGATAGATAATTGAATAAAGATAGATAAGAAATATTAGATTAGATTATAAGATAGATAAGAAAGATTAGATAAGATAAGATAAACTAAATTTGTTATATCTGATAGCTAAAGTAGATAGATAGATAGTTAGATAGATAGTTAGATAGATAGATAGATAGATAGATAGATAGATAGATAGATAGATAGATAGACAGACAGACAGACAGACAGACAGACAGACAGACAGGAATGGAGGGACAGATAGACAGAGTGATATAGATGAATGTATAGCTGGATGGATGGAAGGATAGATATAGATAGATAGATGGATGGATGTTAGATGGATGAATGGATAAATAAATGGATAATAGATAATGATTGAATAAAGATAGATAAATATTAGATTAGATAATAAAATAGATAAAACTAAATTGGATATATCCGATAGCTAAAGTAGATAGATAGATAGATAGATAAATCAGGCTGGGGCTGCAGAGAAAATAATTGCAAGAAATATTTTTGAAACAGGAACATCTATGCTTCTAAAAAATTGCCCCGTGGTCTAATAATCTCAACCTCAAAAACTTGAGGTTGTGTAGACTTCAACTCCCACAATTCCCCAGGCTAAGAAACACCGCTTTCATACGATGAGCGACGGACACCTGCCCAATTTGTGTAAGAGGGGCGACCTTTGAATACACAATTGCAGCTGCCCCCTTGATTTTTCTTTTTTTGTTTTTCTGACACAAATACACCTGGAGCCCTCAGAGGGAGGGGGGCGAAAAAACCCCTCACCTCCAGCCTGCACACCTTTGAAACCCTGGGCGATGTTCGTTGTGTTGTCTTTCCTCCCCAGAACTCTACGAGGTGGTGAGGACGGTGAAAGAAGCCTCAGGACTATATTCCAGGTCCAGCATACTCTACATGCGCCCCAAAAAGGCAGATAAGAACTCCATTTTCCAGTGCAAAGTCAGCTACAAGATGCCGAAAGGGAAAGTCGGCATGGAGGAATCGGAACCTTTCAATCTCACTTTGCATTGTAAGTGGGGTTGGGGGGGGGGCTCTTGCAGTTGTTCTCCTGTAGTCCCTGTCTCTCCCCCCCCCAAAAAAAAATGCTTTCCAGGAGGAGGGCAGTGAACATGAATCGCAAAATTGAAAATAGCCCCCCCGGTGGGGTTTTCAGAATACAGATACTCCTTGACTTAGGGCTGCGATTGGAGCCCAGCATTTCTGTTTGCTAAGTGAAACAGCGGTTAAGGGAGCTTTACCCAAGGGTGGGATTCAAATTTTTTTTAACGACCGGCTAGGTGGGCGTGGCTAGGTGGGTGTGGCCATGTGACTGGGTGGGCGTGGCTTTTTTTGTAGCAAACCCACCCCCCTCGGGGGGTTTTTTGCCTCTATTTTTGGGCGTTTTTGCTCCCAGGAAGGCAAAAAAAAGAAGCGGGGGGGACACATACCACCCCCCCACACACACACCCCACACACACCCCAGTGTGCCCCTTTTTGCCTCCTGGGCCTCAGGGAAGCCTCCTGGGCGAAGCAGTAAGACAGAGTTGGGGATCTGGCACAGCTGATCATCAGAACAGCTGATCATCGGCACAGCTGATCGTCGGGGGGGCGGGGGAAGAATCTGGCACAGCTGATCATCCAAACAGCTGATCATCCAAACAGCTGATCGTCGGGGGACGGGGGAAGAATCTGGCACAGCTGATCATCCGAACAGCTGATCATCCGAACAGCTGATCATCCGAACGGCTGATCGTCGGGGGGGGGGGGGGGAAGAAATACCTTAAGGAGTGACTGGGCTGGGGAGAATGCAGCCAGCAATGTCGGGCATGCATGATAAGGACTGACTGGGTGGGGAGCGGAGGGGCCAGCCAGGGGCACGATTTGCCGGTTCTGCCGGTATGCAGAATCATAACAACCGGTTCTATTAAACCGGTCCCAACCGGTAGAATCCCACCCCTGGTTTTTCCCCGTTTTACGACCTTTTTTTTTGCAACGGTTATTACATGAATCGCTGCAGTTCTTAAGTGAATCTGGTTTCCCCACTGATTTTGCTTGTTGAGGGGGGTGGGGTCGCAAAAGGCGATCACATTACCCCGGGACACTGCAACCGTCATAAATACGAGTCAGTGGCTAACAACCCATGTTACTAACTTAACAAATGCAATGATTCACTTAGCAACTGTGGCAAGAAAACGGGGCAAACTCACTTAAGAAATGTTGCACTTAGCAACATCCATTGTGGTCGTAACTTGGGGACTACCTGTAATAGACGAATTCAGTGGGTCAAACCTTCCAGAGGTGTAGACGTCAACTCCCAGAATTCTTAGCCATGGATCTGCTGCTAGGAATTCTGGGAACTGAAATGCACACACACACACACACACACACACACACACACAGTGAGGATGCCCAAGTTGGCAAAAGCAGAATCATAACAACCTCTCTGACTTTTGGGTTTTGTTGTTGCTCTCTTGTTCTTTTTTTATTGTGTTTTCTTTTCAAGGACCGGAGTCTTTTGTGGAGTTTTTAATGTTTGTTTTTGTGGGAATGAAAAGTAGAAATGTGTAAAAGATATTTGATAACTCTGGACACGTCAGCAGCTTTTCATTTCCTGAGGTCTCGTGGATGAACCTGATGTGTTATTTCGCTGCCGTTGTTTCAGCTGTCTTGCAAGCTGTTGTTGTTGTTTTAATTTCAGCTGATGGCCAACTCGTGGTGAACAATTTTTTTTGTAAAAAAAAAAAAGTGTTATATAGTCCTCGAATAACGACCATAATGGAGCCCAAAATTTCTGTTGCTCAGCAAGAGACATTTGTTAAGTGAACCTTGCCCAGTTTTACGACATTTTTTAAATGGTTGTTAAGTGAATTACTTAACGGTTGTTAAGTGAGTCGCTGCAGTTGTTAAATTAGTAACACAGTCGTTAAGTGAATCTGGCTTCCCTGTTGACCTTGCTTGTCAGAGGGCCACAAAAGGGGACCACGTGACTGCAGCCGTCATAAATACGAGTCGGTTGCCAAGTGCCTGAGTTTTGATCACGTGACTGCGGGGGGATGCTGCAGCGGTCTTAAGTGTGAAAAATGTTCATAAAGTCCCCTTTTTCAGTGCCATTGTGACTTCAAACGGTCACTAAACGAACTGTTGTAAGTCAAGGATTATCTGTAGTTGTTTTTCAGTCCAATACAAATATATTATACATGGGAATAATGTGTCCCTATGTCCGTGTATTTGTGTGTGTACATGCACAGACACATGGACATATTCTATTCTATTCTATTCTATTCTATTCTATTCTATTCTATTCTA